AGTTGATAGAAAACGAAACATTCTAGAAAAAAAAAACTTCGTGATCTTAGTAAAAAACGTTTTATATATTTATTAGCAACTATAAAATTATCTTGTCTGTATTGTACCATATTATTCCTGGATCGAAATGCTATACATATTAATTTTGGTGCAGTTAAAATGTCAAAAGTTTCCCTTGCATCATGTGTAAATGATAGAGCACAGACTGCATGGTTGTAAAGTATCTATGACATAATCCACATTCGTATTTTGTAGTCTTAATTCTCCTATGCATCTTCACAGCTCAGAATACTCAGTCTGAGGGCGAGAGATTGTTATTATCATGTCATATGTTCTCCGTTAATGGGGGCCGCTATACTTGCTATGAAAATACGAAACTAACATGCAATACATGTATAATTGATGATGTAAAAAATTCAAATTCTTCATTGATAAAACTTTCTTTGATATAAAAAAATTGTATTTTCAGTGAAAAATTATTCAGATAGTGTTTGTTATTTTTTTTTTTAACAGAAATCTTGGAAATTCGAAACTAACATATTTCTTAGCTCTACCTTACATTTTTGAAAAGGCACAAACTTGTAACGCGTGAGACGTTGAAAGTGTGAATTTGTAGAGTGGGAGGATTGGAATTTGTGATCTATAATTTGCATAGTCACTGATTTTTGTCAACATTTCAAGAAAATAACAGAATATGAAGAAGGAAGAATATATATTCAGAGGATCAATCTACTTCATAACTGGTGAGTTACAAAAAATGGAGGCAATCACTGAGTCAGAAATCTGTGTAAGTGTTACTGTCTATAGGGGATTAATTTCACGGGTTGTAATTTTCATGTTTTTCTCTCATCTGACACGATCGCGGTTTCTTGAATGCTACATGTAAACGACATTCTTCAGCATTGTTTTTATTTCACGAACAACAGGGTAGGTTAATATAAAATTGATAGATTTAATTAATAATTAATTAAAACAAGTGCAGTTATTATAAGTCCTACACTCTAAACGTCAAATGACTTTCCTATATGCTATTACCATGAGTGCATGTGCACCCAATATCTTCAATACAACGCGGCGAAAAACCACTGGACGTATGTAAATGTGTTTATTACGTTCGCCGAAATAATATCTTCCACATCTTCAGTAAGTTCGATATTTATTTGAATGATTTTGTAAAACCAAAATATTGATAAAAACTAATATGCATGATAATGCAGGTAACAAATACACGTGGTAAAATTAGTTACGCATGGGTAATCAAAACCCATGGCCCACGTGTTTTGATTGATGAAACATGTAGCGCTGGCTATTAAAACAGCTTTTGAACAAACACGAGTTATCTGCAGATTTGAATTAAAGTAAAGCATGACATTTAGAATAACTGAATGACTCGTAATGTACTGCATGTACATGTATATCATTCAACCTGTCGTAGTCAACCTATCGTAGTCTGTTCTCAAATTTCCAAATAAAACATGGAGATTATTGAAAATTTATTCACTGTTTCTTGAATTCACGGATTTATTAACACCGTGAATATAGCGAATATTAACACTGCGAGTTATTTTCCCCCTATACAGTATTTGAAAAATAAATTATGTCTTTTTTTAATGAAAGTTTTGTCAATCTTTGCTTTGAGTTGGGATCCAACCATATAACATACATTTATTATAGACTGTGACTCAAAACATTCATAGGCCTGATTGATCTTCAAAATGGCGGCCCAGGAAAATAGGCTTAAATTCCACTCAGAATCCTTTAATTTGGAAGTGCCTCTGATGAAATATTAAATGAAACTAGAATGCAAGAAAACACAAAAAAAGCCAAATTTTACAATCATGGGTATTTTCAGCAAATCTTTCTTCTTGAAGGAAGAAGAGAAGCAGTTCACAAATGTTGATGAGCAGAAGACAGTAGAAACTCTGGCTACAAAAAAAAAATCTGAATGGTTTGAAAAAAAAAGAAAGAAACGAAAATATGAAGGGACGCTTTTCCATATATCAAATCAATCAATCAATAATTTTTTATATTCAATCAAAGGACCCAAATGATGAAATTCTGGAAATTCCACATGGAGAGACAATAAGGATTTTTGAATTGACCATGCATCTTGCTCGAAATGCTTGAAAGCCCTTAAAGCTGTTGCCCTGGTGCTGAACAAACTTTTCTTCTAGACTGGAATTAAAAACTGTTCCATTTCTGGCATTAAAACACACTTTGAAATATGCTGAGGAAGAAACCCCCTCTCCTTTTGACCAAGTAAGGTTAAACATTCTGCAGAGAGTTGCATTTGATTTGAAATCATTCATACTTTTACCAGGAATGAAGTACATTATTTAATTACTATGGTTTAATATATCAGAATTGTCTATTCTAACAAAGATTTTGTTGCCATGGTTGGAAAACAAACAAAAATTCTGTGAAATCTTTCAAGATGCTGTATTATAAAACATCTACTCTTACTGATTTTAGCATGACTTCATGCATTTTCATGAATAAACGTGAATAATAATATTGCATTTTTTGTTTCTTACAAATAAGCAAGAATATTCATGAATGCTAATGGTTCATGAATTTTATTCATTCATGAACATTCCTGAATAAATTCATCAAATTATTCATGAACAGTTTATGAAGATCAAATGAACTTATTATTGGACATTCTTGAAATGATGAATCTTCATGAATATGACTCTTCATGAATTTTTCATGAGAAAAAATATTCATGAATATTCATCAATTTTCTTTCATGAATAAAAATTCATGATTTGAAAATGTCCAATAATAAGTTCATAGGATCTTCATGAACATTTCATGAACATTTCATGAATAAAATTCAAGAAAAATTCAAGGAAAATTATGAATTATTCATGATCATCTCGCAGGGGGATACTACAGCCATGACTTCCATATTTCACACGTGTATTCCTTGTGACAAGACCTTTCATTGGGTATCACCAAATTTGACCTTTTGACCCTGACTTTGGAGTTTGACCCACTTTTACACGAAAATTTTAAAATTTTACTTTGGCCATATCTTTTGAACAGTAGATACCAGGACATTTATACTTCACATATGTAATCTTTGTTGAAGGTCTTTTCATTGGATAGCAACAATCTTGACACTTTGACCTTGACCTTGTAGATTTCCGTACTTGTCAAAAAACTTTAACCTTGGCCATAACTTTTGAATGGTAAGGGAAAGTGCTTTCATACTTCAAATATGTAATCCTTGTGAGAAGACCCTTCATTGAATACCAAGAACATAACCATTTGACCTTGACCTTTGAGATTGACCTACTTTAAAGAAGCAAATCTTGACCATTACTTTTAAAGGGTAGAGCTAGTGCTTTCATACTTTACAAATTTTACAATGGGGGATCATAGTTTAACATAGGAATATACAGGGAAAATATTTAAAAATCTTCTCAAGAACCACATGGCCAGGAAAGATGAAACTCATGTGGAAGCATCCTTGGGTAGCGTATATTTAAGTTTGTTCAAATCATGACCCCCCAGGGGTAAGGTGGGGCCACAGTGGGGTATCAAAGTTTCACATAAGAGTACATAGGAAAAATCTTTAAAAATCTTCTTCTCAAGAACAGCAATACCATGATTGGTCATAGTTATACTAAAGCATCCTTTTTAGTGCAGATTCAAATTTGTTCAAATCATTAATCCCAAGCATAGGGTGGGGCCACAATGGGGGATCAAAGATTAACATTGGAATACACAGAAAACAAGATGTGTTTGTGATCACCCATTGTGACCCCACCCTACCCCTGGGGGTCATGACTTGCACAAATCTGAATCTACACTACATGAGGACGCTTCCACATGATTTTCATCTTTCACGGCCCAGTGGTTAATGAGAAGAAGATATTTAAAAGATGTCATCAATTTTTCACTAATTCATTATTATCTCCCCTTGGGACAAAATAAAGTAAATAAAAGCCCCATGGGCCATACAGGTAACCTGAGTATCATGTTACAACTTTTCGACAATTGAATTGGGTTCTTGTTCAGTGCTCCAAGTCACACTTCCTCTTAGGTCGCAAAATGGCGACCTAAAATTTTTTTTGGTCGCCATAATCAAACATTTCACTCGCCATAAAAAAATACATTTTGTCAATAAAACTTGGTAATTTAAATAAGGATATTTATTATGTCTTTATTATATCAAAGATTACTTATTACTGTTACTATAAAAATTTGCTAGGTTGAATGAAATATTTTTATTGAATACAAGTACCCTTATGGTTGTACAGAAGAACACAAGTAATCTGATTACAGAAATAAAATTTTATCAAATGAAAATACAAGCCTGACAGCTTTTGAGACAGGACCTGCTGTTTGTCATGTTTACTTACTACTACGTACCAAACCCATTACACAGTCATTATAAATGCCGCCAGAACAGTCTTTATTAGCATGATTCATTGTAAAATCCAAGCAATTGACCAAATGCTTCAATAACAAGGTTGGATCTTAGAAAGTTTACGAAGTTTGGATGCCATTCTATCAGGAACATTATTTTTACACGTCTCTGGTTCTATCAAACTTTGTATGGCATGCTGCCATAACATTATGTGATCCAAGTCCATGCGGCATTTTGTAAAGTGTATTTAAGCATATGTCTTCAAACATTTTCTTGATAGAGAATCTTTACAAATGAAATCTCGATCCCGATCTTGAAAATGGATGTTTCCAGCCCAAATTTTCTCAGTCGCAAAAATGCGAGTGTGTTTTCATTTTTAGTCGCAAAATCAATTTTTTGGTCGCAAATGCGACCATTTTATTCGCAACTTGGAGCACTGTTGTTTTAAACCAGAGGGCAGAAAATTCAAAATTTTGAAATAGGCATGCACTTAGTTTGAATATTTAATACCAAGAAGCAGAGCAGAGGCTTAAAGATGTTATAATTTTATTTTTTTACGTGAAACTAAACTTGATTTAGAGTGTTCACTATAACCATATTTTAAGACATTAATTTTACTTACCTTTTGACACATTTCAAAATATCAAAATCAAAGTTGTGAGTAGCCAGATTCTCAAATGGTGTCCCAGTCACGAGTAAGAAAATAAAGTTGGTTTGTTGATTAATTGGTAAAATAGCCAAAAAATTATTGTGGATACACTGTTCTCTCATGGAAGGATATGGTGAAGTATTGTGTCTGAACCTGAACCAACCTATTACCTGAAAATAAATAACAGTGACTGTACAATTTAATCAGACTACAGAGTTCTATGATGAGAGAGTATTCAAAGTAACTCTACTGATTTGTACTCTATAAACAAGCATATTAAAGCAAGTTAGAGGCCCAAGGGCCTTGAATCGCTCTTCTGATAAATTGTACAACCTATCACTTCTGTATATTTATGTTCCCCAAACGAAGTTGGGGAACATATTGTTTTTACTCTGTTTTTTATTATTATTATTCTTATTTTTCTTCCTGGGAAAATTTTGCTACGAGTGATCTTGTAAACTACACATCAGACTAAGGTGAAATGTTTTTAGGGTCAGTAGACATGTAATGTAGATTTGCGGAACGAAGGTCATTTTGCGCGCACGTGCTTGCAAGAGCGCGCACGTGCAACATGATAAATGACCGATTACATTGATATAGATGTAACTTTTTTTAATTTTTGATGAAATGCTTTAGAACTCATAATATAAGGATACATTAGAAGTATAGACAATATGACATGGTCAAAATAGCAAGATCTCACGCGCATGCACGTGCGCTGCATTCTGATTGGCTGAAACAAAAATCTCAATATCTTTTTTGTCTTTTGATGAAATGCTTTGAAATTTTGATTTTAGCCATGCATTAGGATATCCTAAATATGATATATAGCAATTATCATGAAAACACGTGCATGCATAGCTGAATCTGATTACTTAAATTTAAATAGCTATAAATCATTTGGATTTCAAAAAGACGATGGGATTTGAAATATTAGATATTATGCACTACTAAAGAGGGTATGTCACCATGCACATGGATACACATGCATGTACGTGCGCTGCAATCTATTGGCTGAAACTTTAAACAGCTATTACTCCCTTGGTTTCCAACCAAACAGGATGGGATTTGGAACATAGATAGATATAATGGACTACTACAAGAAAGGTATGGTCACCATGCACATGCGCACGTGTGTGTACGTGCGCTGCAATCTAATTGGCTGAAACTTTTAACAGGTATAACGCCCTTGGTTTTCAACCATATGGGGTGGGATTTAGAACATAGATAGATGTAATGATCTTCTACAAGAAGGTATGGTCACCGTGCTCATGTATGCACGTGCGTGCACGTAAAATGAACAAAATAAAAAATACATTTGAATGAGCGTATTTTTATTACTTTTGGATTAAATACTTTAATTTTTAGTTTATTAAAATATATGGATTGTGCAGACAAAATGATATGGTCATTACGTACAGGCATTCGCATGCGCACGCATGCAATGCTAAAATTTGAATGAACTTCGTACACTTCCAGGTAAATGTTAAAGTTTCAAAAACATAGAGTTTGTCTTATTTAATGAAGCTTACAGGTAATATGGCACAAAAAGAGAGTTGGGGAGCGTTTGGGGAACATCTGTAACGGTCCCCGTTACAATTAGCACTAGTTACATTTGCAAATATCTTTCTTAGATGACCTTATGGAAGAGAAAATGTGTTCAATTCTGTGTGAATTTTATTTAGGGGTTAGAGGTCATAGCGCGACCGAATCATAGAGTGAGATGATATTTTGTCTACATATTTCTGTCATGGTGCAACTTGTTTTGGAATATTTATAATAATAATGAAAAAGATAAAATGATATACAATATGTATGGCACGCCATATTCACAAAAATGAGATAAACCTAGTTTCACATTTGATAAACTAGGTTTATCGACTGTAAACTATAGTTTACAAACCGTAAACTATAGTAAACGATTCGTTAAGTATAGTTAACGATTCGTTAAGTATAGTTTTTATCTGTAAAACTATATTTAACGGTTGTTAACTATAGTTTACGAATGATAATCTAAGTTTATCTGTTTGTAATAAGTGTTAACAATAGATTTTGTTGATAAACATAGATTCACGCTTGTAAACTATAGTTTACAATCGTAAACTATAGTTCAGAGTTGTTAATCATAGTTTCACAAATCATGAAACTATATTTATCAGATCGTAAACTATAGTTAACGGTTTGTAAACTATAGTTTACAAATCGTGAAACTGTATTTATCAGATAATCTATGTTTTGCAATCGCAAATGATTGTTTTCAGTGTTAAGTATAGTTTACGTTGTGAAACATAGATTATCGCGTTAACTATGGTTTACGGATGTAAAATATAATATAGATTAACATTGTTAACTATAGTTTAGTCCGTAAACTATAGTTTACAACATATAAACCTAGTTTATCGACTGTGAAACTATGTTTAGCTCATTTTTGTGAATTTGGCGTGCCTTAAATATGGATATTTTCAATCACAAGATGTACAATAAATCTTCTTTCGATGTGAATTAGGTTTTGAATACAGTGATATTAGCCTAAAACTGCACATCTTACCTTTTAAACCCAAAATTCCTTTTGAGTTAAGTAAACCAAAACAGGCTATATCCCTACTTTTGACTTCAAATATCTTAAGAACTTATGAAATACTTAGATTATTCTCAGCAGTGATCATTGTTCTTTAAGTATATACAGATATTTCCTGATCTGGACTGCTGAACAAAAAATTTAATGTAAACATTCAAATGTTGGAACAAGGTGAACTACTTCTAGGTCATAGAATTATCTATCTTAGTGTGGTCTATTTGTGTGCCAAGTTATATTGAAATCAGACCAAAACTATAGGAGGAGTAGCATTTTGAAACAATTTCAAAGAAATTTAAATTTTTAGTAACCTGACGGCAACACCGTTCATTGAAATGAAAAACTGATATACAGAATTATGTATTTTAGTGTGGTCTACTTGTGTGCCAAGTTATACTGAAATCAGACCAAAACTGTAGGAGGAGTAGCATTTTGAAACAATTTCAAAGAAATTTATATTTTTAGTAACCTGATGGCAACACCATTCATTGAAATCAAAAACTGATACACAGAATTATGTATTTTAGTGTGGTCTACTTGTGTGCCAAGTTATACTGAAATCAGACCATTTAAACTGTAGGAGGAGTAGTATTTCGAAACAATTTCAAAGAAATTTATATTTTTAGTAACCACAGCAACACCGTTCATTGAAATCAAAAACCGATACACAGAATTGTGTATCTAAGTGTAGACTACTTGTGTGCCAATTTCAAAGAAATTTCTATTTTTAGTAACCACGGCAACACCGTTCATTGAAATCAAAAACCGATATATAGAATTGTGTATCTAAGTGTAGACTACTTGTGTGCCAAGTTATATTGAAATCAGACCAAAACTGTAGGAGGAGTAGCATTATTTCACAGAAATTTCTATTTTTAGTAACCACGACAACACCATTCATTGAAATCAAAAATTGATGCACTATTTTAAGTATCTTAGTGTGGTCTACTTGTGTGCCAAGTTATATTGAAATCAGACCAAAACTGTAGGAGGAGTAGCATTTTGAAAAATTGTTTACAGACAGACAGACAGACAGACAGATGCCGGACACATTACTATCGCATAAGCTCTTCTGTCTCTGACCAGTAGAGCTAAAAATCAATTCAGGAAATGCCTACGTGGTCCCAATCCTAAAAGGGGGGAGGGGTATGATCTGAACAAACTTGAATCTATGCAAAGTTGAATCTACACTAAATAAGGATGCTTACATATTTTTTTTTACTAATTCTGGCTTCTTACCCTTTAAGTTTGAACTTTTATTGTGGTCCCACCCAACCCTGAGGGTCATGATTTTAACAAATCTGTATCTAAACTACCTGAGGATGCTTTCATATAAACGAGACCAATCATGCCTTTGTCTTGCTATCAAATGAAAGGTCTTGTCACAAGGATTAAATATATTGTAATAGGTATGAAAGCAGTAGCCCTAACCCATTATAAGTTATGCTCAAGGTTTGCTTTTTAAAATTAGGTCAAACTCCAAGGTCAAAGGTTAAAAGTTCTTAGTATCCAATGAAGGGTCTTTTATTAAGGATTACATATGTGACGTACGAAAGCCCTATCCCTTACCATTCAAAAGTTATGGTCAAAGTTAAAGTTTTTTTCACAAGTACGGAAATCTCCAAGGGCAAGGTCAAAAGGTTAAGGTTGTTGGTACTCAATAGAAGGTCTTTCAACAAAGATTACATATATGAAGTATAATAGTCCTGGTGTCTACTGTTCAAAAGACATGGCCAAAGTAAAATTTGGGAATTTTTGTCTAAAAGTGGGTCAAACTCCAAGGTCTAAGTCAAAAGGTCAAATTTGGTGGTACCCAAAGAAAGGTCTTGTCACAAGGAATACAAGTGAAATATGAAAGTCATAGCTCCACTAAATCAAAAGTTATGGGCAAGGTTAAAGTTTTTGCGGACAAACAGACAGACAGAGAGACAGACAGACAGACAGTCAGACGGACCTGACAAAAACTCTATACCCCCAAAACTTCATTTACGGAGGCATAAAATATATAATGAGCAATAAATTATTTATATTCTCACTCGAAATATTTCTAAGAAAGTTGTGAACACCTCTTAATCAGGTCGCGGAAACTACTTTATATGGATATTGTTGTTATTACGCACAGAGGTGCTCACAGCAAACAATGATCCAGCCAAATGAATGAGCTGCAAAGCATACTGTGGTCTACTACGTGTTTACATTTTACTACAAACATGTGGTTCAGGTCAATTTACAACATGATTTCAAATGCCTGTCGTAGAGTCAACTAATATCTATTTTTAATTTTTTTGTTAAAAATAGAAAGAATAAATAGTAAATAAGATGCCCCATGCTCACATTAACAAACAAAGCAAAACAAATTTTCTGTGTTAAATAGTAGGTTGAAATACCGCTATATACATTTACTTATATATATATATCTCAACGTTGTATACTTAGTAAACAATATTTACAAAGTCACCATGTACATAATATTCGCATCTTTGTAATCATTCCATAAACGTATGATAAATAAATTAAGTACAGCTCCGTGTAAAAATCATGCAAAATAGGCATGTAGGTGATATATGAGGGTTCTCAGAATTTGATGATTTTCCA